TATTTAAAATAACAAAAAAGAAAAAAGGGATAAAATTCAAAAATACATTATAAAAATACATAAGGAGTACTTAAAAAATAAGTGAAAAGTATGTTGGGGCATAAACATACACGCATTATATATATAGAATTGCAACTGTTTACTGTATATTTACATACTGTACAAGAAAAGAAGCACTAAGAAAAACCCATGTAAACATTAGAATGATCCATTTTTTTACACTGTATTGTCTATAAGGACATCCATACAGACTTATTTTGTCTTTAGTCCCTATAGTCAGAACATTATTCCATTTCTCTGATGGTCTCCAAATTCTGCTATCTTGCCTGTAGAATTATAATGTTGACTATCTAGGATGTTCAGGTTTTTCAGGATGTTCAGGTTGTTCAGGATGTTCAGGTTTTTCCCCCCAATGATTTTCCTTCCTCCTTTTATTTATTTATTTTTATTTATAACATAAGCCACACTGAGTTGTATAGAATCAGGCAGGTTCAAAATTTAACTCAATCAATTGATCAAGATGGAGCTCAGTTGAAAGAGGGTCTCCTTACTGCCTATATATGATGAAAAAACAGCATAGTAGAAAGTAAATGAGTGTTATGTGACTGACATCCATTTTGTGAGGGTGGACATGATTTATTTTGAAAATTCCAATGAGGTCCCCAGACCGTAAAGATTTCCTGCCCCCAGTTCAAGCTTTTTTAAGGAAATAATTTGGATAGCCAAAGCTATGCAGTGTGCTGCAGCTGCCCAAAAAGCCAACTCAGTGCTGGGCTGCATTAACAGAGGGATAGAATCAAGATCACGTGAAGTATTAATATCACTTTACAATGCCTTGGTAAGGCCACACTTGGAATACTGCATCCAGTTTTGGTCACCACAATGTAAAAAAGATGCTGAGACTCTAGAAAGAGTACAGAGAAGAGCAACAAAGATGATTAGGGGACTGGAGGCTAAAACATAAGGAACGGTTGCTGGAATTGGGTATGTTTAGTTTAACGAAGAGAAGGACGAGGGGGGACATAATAGCACTGTCCCAATATCTCAGGGGCTGCCACAAAGAAGAGGGAGTCAAGCTATTCTCCAAAGCGCCTGAGGGCAGGACAAGAAGCAATGGATGGAAACTAATCAAGGAGAGAAGCAACCTAGAACTAAGGAGAAACTTCCTGACAGTTAGAACAATTAACCAATGGAACAACCTGCCTCCAGAAGCGGTGAATGCTCCAACACTGGAAGTTTTTAAGAAGAAATTGGACAGCCATTTGTCTGAAATGGTATAGGGTTTCCTGTCTGAGCAGGGGATTGGACTCGATGACCTCCAGGGTCCCTTCCAACTTTATTATTATTAATATTATTAATATTAATATTATTATTATTAATAATAAATGATTTTGTTTAAAAGCTTGATTTGCAGCATATGTGAGGATCTTTGGCCCTCCAGATGTAGTAGCTAAAGTCATTACCACTGGCCAACACAGCCGATGTTGAGGGCTGTTGAAAACTGAAGTTAACCAATGTCTAAGGTTCTTACCCAAGTTGCATCTTTTAATAAGATTATAAAATGACCCTGCAGTGAAAAACTAGCAGTACTGCACATGGAATGGTCTAATCTTGTATGTTATCAAACTGTCTTTTTTATTTAAAAAAAAAGTGGCTTTGTTTAGCTTTATCAGGAAAGAATCAGACTTATAAGCCACTGGTTTGACTTGTGGACAGACAAACAACGCAAGCAATTTCTCCTCTTGATATTGAACAAGTGCAGTAAATCACAGCTGAAGTAAGTGAGCCACTTGTTTTAATACTATGCTTTGTGAAAATAAAAAGTAGATTATGCCAGGGCACCTCCTATAATATGAATTATTTACTGCAGATTGTTTGTAATTTCTAGAGTCCAATTCTAATCAGCTGGAGCTCATTGAGATCTCCATACAGCTAAAGCTGAAACTAAATATACTGTAAAATTATTTCAAATTAATTTAACATTGTGAATATAGCTATTTACTAGGCATTTAATAATTCTCCCTGTTCAGTTAACAGTTGTGATTTAGTTGTGGGTTTTTGGGGTAGTGGCTCTAGCAACTTTGTTCATGGGTGTTATAAAATATGTACATGGAAGCCAGTGGCACAAGCACCTTAATATTACTTCTGTATTGATGACAAGATATAGGCTTATTTGATAAAATATGAAGCAAAAGAGTTAAGGGAGATGTAAAATATATTTTGTCCCATACACAGTCCTATTTTCCAAAAAATTGGGGGAAGGTGGGCCAAAATGGGAAAAGTACATCCGATAGAGATCTGCCTCTGGGGCCTAAGATCTTGGCCTCCAGATATCTAATGTTAAGTCTGGCCTTTTCTAAAGTTGAACCTGTCCACTAGCTTCCTTATAAACCTGTAGATTATAATCATGTCAATTCACAGACACTGACAAAAATAGTAGTGTTGCCCTGCCTTAGGAGATGCTGCCACATGAAAATGAAAGTGAACATGACAAACTGAATAGATGAGGCAAAGGGGGGGTGGAAAATCTCAAAATCATGGCTTACCCATTAAATGTTCATAGTTCACATTTATATAATCTTCTCCTGGCAATAAATGTAAACATTTCCTTAGATCCTATAATTTACTTTGGTTTTTTTTTTGTGTGTGTGTTTTACTTCTTTGTTGCATAGGTGTGCTGGAAAATGGCTTATAGAAAATATCCCACTGAGCCATGTAGATTTCACCACTCTGCTGCCACGTTTCATATCTTTATATATATTCTCCTTTCTCAGTCCAAGGGATCTTTGTGCTGCAGCCCAAATCAATTGGCACTGGAAATTTTTAACTGAACAGGTAGTATCAGCGTATGCCTTGTTTTCAGATAAGCCAATGCTACATGCTAGAGTTGTAGAACCATGGTCCATTAAATCAGGGGTGTCAAACTGCCAGCCCGCGGGCCGGTTGCATCATATGGAGGCCGCGCCTACCCCAGCTCCGGCAATGCAAAAAAAGTTGCGCTATATCGTGACACGTCATGTGACGTGGCCAGTTTGACACCCATGATCTAAGTGAATTTCAATTCTCAGCTGTTCCAGATTATGTGACCCATGGTGAGATACTGGGAATTGCAGTTCAGCAACATTCAAAGACCATAGCTCCTCATCCCTCCTTCACCCTTTGAATAAGCCCCGCCAAGTTCAAAACTGAGACTGAGGGTTACACGTTGTAGTCATCCCAATTAAACACCAAGTTAAATGTTCTTATGCTCATTGATTTGAAATGACATGAACATTTGTAACATTCTCTAGTGAAGTTTCCCATTTGTGTTACTTGTCTCGTAATTATAGCCATTTCTTTTCTAATCTTGAATCGTTAGATGAAGAAGGTATCTTTCTTATTCCATATGGAAGGAAAATAGTCCTGTTTTCAACGATTAAAATTCATTGGCCTTATTCAAATTTAAAGTGGAATACTATCAATTGTAGGAGAAAGAGTGTCAGGAGAAGGAGGAGAAGGAGTGGTAGAATCTGGGGGGCAGAGTCAAAAAAGGAATCAGCCTAGAGTCTACGTAGCCACAAATGGGCTAAGACCAACTCTTCTTGAATTTAGGTGACCCTTTATCTACCACTAAAATAGTGCTAATCTTTAATTGAGTAGATTGCTGTGCATAGGCATGAATAGTAATAAATCAGTTTACTTAAAACTTCATGTCTGTGCGCTTGATACCAATACAAAAATTGGCAATAATTAATTTTACATTCAGGTGGCATCTGTCAGATCCATTCACCAATTCTCACACATATGGAATAGCAGAATTTAAATATAACCTTGCTTCTATATTTATTTATTTATGTACTATTTATCAGTCTTACTTATTGTTTTCTAGATCTCTTCTATTTCCATGCCTTGTTATGATCATTATAATTAAACCAAATGATGCGGCTCCTGAGTTAAAATCCAAGGAATTATCTTTAAATTGCTTTTAAATAAAACAGATTGCATGTACCTTCCAAATCAAGGAAAAGGGAGAAGCTGGAATTTGTGTACCTCATTCCCATAGATCTGCTTCTCTTACACATCTGATGTTAGTCATCAACAATTAAGTCATGCTTTACTTGATTTGATAAGCTGTGATAATAACTTCTCTTTGAAAATAAAGCATGTTTTCACTTCCTTCACTAAAGGACTGTCTGTGGATGCCAAAATGCCTTAAGTTAGGATGGTTTCTTCCGTATGTTCCTGAAAAGAATGAATATGGCGCTTGGAAGCGTTATTATATTGCCTGTGCAACCAACCTGGATTATCTAACTCCTAGGAGAACTGCATACCACAGGACTACCAGTGATCTCAAAACAAAAATTGAAGAGCAAGAAGAAAGAGGGCAAGCAAACTATCTTCGGAAATTTATTCGAGGGAGACTGGCAGTACACAAAAGTAAGTTTTGGTTCAGTTATTAGTAAGGGTGGATCCCATATTTTGACTTTAGCAGCTGGCAATCATTAAGTTCTCAGGAATATATGAGATGCACAGGAGTGCCTAGCAAGCCCCAAGGACTAAAATCTGAAATAAATAGCTTTTTAAATAATTACATTAGACAGAAAAATGGAAAAGGCTTAGCTGAGTCTGACCTCTTTTTACAAATGTAGCAAAGTGGTAAGAATATTACGACATTGTCTTCTCTTTGAAGTATGTGGATGCCTTCCTCAATTAATGTAATTATTTTCCGTGGGGCTTGAATGTAAAATACTCTAATGCAGTGGTTCTCAACCTGTGGGTCGGGACCCCATTTGGGGTCGATCGACCATTTCACGGGAGTCGCCAAGCAAGGCTGTCCGCCATTTTTTTTGTCCGCCATTTTTTCCCCCTTTTCCGGCGGGTGCCTTACCTCCCTTGGGCTGGGCCAGCTGGTGGTCGGCCTGCTCCATCTCTGCCGCTTGCCAGCTACGCCTCGGCCGGCGCAGGGGGCAGAACCACGCATGCGCGGCGCTCCCGGGCAGGGAAAGTCCTCGACTTACGACCGGTTGGGTAGTCCTCAACTTATGACCGGTTTAGTCCTCGACTTACGACCGGTTGGGGTCACGGCATTAAAAAGGTTGAGAACCACTGCTCTAATGAATGATTCCTATATGAAGTATCAAATGATTGCAGAAGTGGAATGCAATTTATAGAATGAGTTATTCTTTCCCCTCTGTCCCTTGTTGCTCCTGTGAATTTGATTCTTCGCCTGTGCCAGTTTTCTTTGGATGCCAGTAGTTCCCCCTTTAGCTTTATTTATTTTTCACATTTCTGAACTGTCCACCTCCCTCAAAGAGTGTAGCTGCACCCTTGACACCTAGTAATCTCTTTTTTTTTTTTTAACCAACCTGGGCAGAATTTTGTGGGCCAAATCCTTTATTTGCACCCCAATGGCATGTTCCCATTATTGGCATCATGATTAAAAAAAAAAAATAGGGAGACAAAATTGAACAACTCATGTCAATCTTCTGTTATGACAAATATGATGAAAGGTTTGCCCTTTTTAGTAGAGCAATTTGCATTTTTTGTGTGCCCGCATGTCTATAAAGATCAAAATGTGAGTCTAGTTGTGGGTGGCCTGTGGATTCATACATAAATTCTCTTCTGTTTAGGAATCTTGCACAGCTTATTAAAATCTAGAACTGGCTGTAAATGAAAACAGATTTTTAAATTAATAGTATAACCTGACAATGAAAAAGGGAGCATAAATAATCACCTTTTGAAAGTAACATACAATATAGTTGAATGGGATTTATTTTTCAGAAGAATTATTCAAAGCTCGTCCACCTTGGATAAGTGGAACCCAGAGCTCAGGATTTTACAAGTCTGGATTTCAACCACATTTGTCCCAATCTATCTATGACCAGGCTAAATTATCAGCTGAATTATTAATGAAGGTATTATTTTCCCCCCCTCCTCAAATATTTACATTTTTATGTCTGTGCATGCAGAGCTTTACTTAAGACTTGTCTCCATCCCCAAAATAATGCTCCATAATAGTGCTTAGTGCTTAAGCATGTGTTAAGGAGAGCAGTGTAGGCATCTGTGGAAATGAGCTTAGGGGCCTGAGGATCAGCTAAACAAGAAATGTTGGCACTGGGGTCCCCATTGCCAATCCCTGGTCTTGTTAATCTCATCTTGCTGTCCCTCCCTGTGTTTCCATCAATCTCCGCGGGCTGAATAAGGATGGTAGGAAAACCACTCTCTTCAACTACCTCCTTTAATTGGCTATGCAGGTTAAGATAGATGTTGCTCAACCCTGGCAATTTTAACATGGGTGACCTTCAACTCTCAGTATTTCCATCCCAAGGTTGAGAAACATTGACCTAGATAAATAATCTAACTACCAAAAATGGTGTGGTGGGTGGCATCTTGTCTGGTACTCCCCAATGCCTTCAGCTGACACTACCTGTGCTTGCATCAAGTGTACTTTTTCCTTCGTAGAGAAATTTTGTATCCAAGAAACAGCATTTTCTGTATTTTGGCAGCCCTTACTGAATTTTAGCAGGCACCGCTAAAATTCTCAAGATGAAGTGTGACATTTTCCATTTTAGTCTTGTTGCAGATCTAGTTGGTTAAACAGCAGCAAATTGATTCTTCAGAAGCCACTCAAGTGGCTCCAATAATTCAATCTGAATCTTTGTAGCAGAGGTCTAAAATGTTTAGCCAACAATAGAGGAATTAAATGTCAATGGTCTGTGGATCTGTATTCATCAAAAATATTACCCTTTTCTTTTGTTCTGAGCTAATTAACAGCTCCCGACCTGCACATCCCCAGAGTTCAATTCATTAAAAAGAAAATGCAGGAAGATCCATTGCAATTTAAATGTAAAATGGAATGTCAGTGTGATAATGACAGTATATTATCTTTCCTCCTCCCAGTTGTATCCTTGTAACAGCCTTTGGGATTAAGAGTTGTGAATGCCTTCAAATCACAGAACATTGCTTGACTGTGAAGGCCCTAGGCCAAGGGACAAACTTCTTTTCTTTTCTTGTTCAACAAGTAGCTTTCAGTTGCTCATAGTTTTATTCCATTTCTTTTTGTCTCGCTGAAAAATGAAAGGGAAACAATATATACAGGAGAAACCTTTCTTGAAGTTGGGAGGCTAGACCTTGGCAGATTTCCTTTTTTCCTACTCTGCCTCTATGATGGTGTCATCTTTACTCTTCATCCTTCAGCAGGTAGTCTATATCTCCTGGAGGAATTTAGCACTCAGGTGTCTTGCCTCTTCTACAGCAGTGTTTCCCAACCTTAGCCTTTTTCAAGGTATGGGCTTCAACTGCCAGAACTCTTATCAATGGCCCTGAAGGCTGTTGGAATTATGGAAACTGAAGTCCACACACTCAAAATGGCCAAGGTTGGGAAGCACTATTCTAGAGCAGGGCTTTTCAACCTTTTCACTCATTGTACCACTTTTAAGATATGGCAATATCCGAGTACCACCAGTCGCCTAGCAAGATGTCAAAAACTTGATGACAAAGAAAAAAAAAGGAAAAAAGTGATAAAGTACAGGTAGTCCTCGACTTACAACAGTTCGCTTAGTGACTTTTCGAAGTTACAATGGCACTGAAAAAAGTGCCCCCCAAGCCACAGCCGAGCAAGACACCTGCTTGCCCACCGGCGGCGCTCTTCCTCCTGTCCGAGGTTTCCATTGTTGTGAGCATTTCTGTTGAGGATTGGCAGTGGGAGTGGGGTGGGGGGGGGGTGTTTGGTTTTTATTCCCCCCGTCTGCTGGGTGGTTGCAGCAGGTTTTGGTCACTTCACATGACCCTGGGACACTGTGGCTGTCATAAATATGAATCAGTTGCCAAGCATATGAATGTAAATCACAAGACCCTGGAGATGCTGCAACATTCCAGTTCATCGGTGCTTCTTCTAGGCTTTGCAGAAGCGCCAGGATCAGCACCAAGCTCCTGCTGGAGCCTGGCGCTGATCCTGGTGCTTCCACTGAGCCCTGACAGCCCCGAAGAAGCGCTGATCCTGGTGCATCCGCTGAGCCCTGACAGCCCTGCAGCTCCAGCCATCTCTCGCTCAGGCTTATGCGGTGCTGCCACCTGTTCAGCTCATTCCCCTCCCCCGCTACCACTTTTCTAGGATGGTCGCGTACCACCTGCCAGGTGCCAATGTACCACAGGTGGTACCCATACCACTGGTTGAAAAGCCCTGTTCTAGAGTATACACCTATCATCCTTGGGGTTGTGGTTCCTCTTCAATATGTCATGTAATCCCTCTCTCTAAATGCTTTTATTGAAACAGTACTTTCCACAAATAATTTGTTTTTCAAACAGATTTCTCAACAGAATAAAGCTGCATCAGGCTTCAGTCTAGAAGCTGAGAAGCCATA